GTTGGTTCACTAAACGCTTTATAGTAGTATGATTTTTGGAATTGAGTATACAGTTCATATAGGACTGCCTATCTATTAGTAAAATCTATATTTAAATTGTCATAAGGATATACTTCTGAGTTTAAATAAACTTTTAAATTGGTCAAGTTACAATGTTGAAATCGACTCATATTTTTTGTTATACAGAACATATCGAAAACGTTCCGCAAGGCATAACGGCCAGGGTATTTTTTTTCAGAAAATTCAAAAACACGTCAATTTTGTTTGTGAGGGGGACAACTTTTGCCCCAAAAATGACTGCAAAACCAAACCCTCTAAGCGGGGGTGTCATCCCCCAATTTTTTTCAAATGGGAAGGGGGTTCAAGTGGCGCCGCAATGAAAAGAGCTTTCTATTCTCTATATTTCCCCTCCTCGTTTTTGAAAATCGGTCGAGTCATTGAGAAAATGAGTCAAAGGAAAAAGTCATTGAAGGATTAAAATTTGAAAAGTTTATTTAAACATTTATCAGAGTAAATGATAAGGATAAATTCCGTCGACCAATTTGCTGTTTTTTCTTGTTATTTCTAGATGTTTACGCATTTTTTCACTTGCCACAAGGTTGAACGATCAGGTGCGATAATTGCTAGATAGCTGTTCTGTGGCTTATGCGTTGAAGTTCTTCTCAATATCGTTAAAGTTTTTAACAATTATTAGTATACTCACTTGCAGAAAAAGTGGAAATAATCGAACTTTATTTTAAAAATAATGAATGTGGCAATCGGGTTGCGCAGATATTCAATGAACGCCATCCTGACAACCACCTTTATAGCAAAATTGTTCGCGAGTTAGTAGCAGAATTTCGCGAAACTGGTTCCGTTATGAATAAAAAGAGGCAGAGGGAAAATCCTGTAGTAAATGAAGCTATGAAGGTATTCGTATTGGGCCAAGTTGCCATGGATAGTACGGTGAGTACAAGAAAATTAGCCAATGAGACCGGCGTGAATTGTATAAGTGTCCAAAGGATATTAATAAAACGCAAGTTCTATCCGTACAAAACTCAGTTGGTACAAGAACTCAGCTAAGACGATTTTGATCGTCGATTGCAATTTTGTGAAACTATGAGTGAACGAGTGGCGAATCATAATAATTTCCTATTTAATGTGTGTTTTTTGGATGAGTGCACTTTCTTTTTGAACGGTGTAGTTAATCGGCACAACTGTCGGTACTGGGCTGAAAACAGCCCCAGGGTTTTTCACGAGGTGCACACACAAAACCCTTAGTATACATTTACGCCAATTGAACGTGTGGGCTGGTATTTTTGGAAATTCTATTGTGGGTCAGTTTAACGATATTGAGAAGAACTTCAACGCACAAGTCACAGAACAGCTATCTAGCAACTACCGCACCTGATAGTTTAACCTTGTGGCAAGTGAAAAAATGCGTAAACATCTAGAAATAATAAGAAAAAACCTCAAATTGATCGAAGGAATTTATCCTTATCATTTACTCTGATAAATGTTTAAATAAACTTTTCAAATTTCAATCCTTCATATTTCCTCAATGACTCGACCGATTTTCAAAAACGAGGCGGGGAAATATAGAGAATAGAAAGCTCTTTTAATTGCGGCGCCACTTGACTAGTGATGGGCAAAACTGTTATTTTTAGATAACAGTTGAAACTGTTATAGTTATTTATAAAAAACAGCTTAAAATAACAGCTTAAAAATAACAGGTTTCTTTATTTTATTGCTAAATATCTGAAAGAATATGAGGCGGTCACCGCCAGGCGTATTAACGCAGTTGCAACAATGACGATGCCTCGGTGGTAGTATTTCCAGGGTGTCATAACATTTCTAAATATCGATTGTTATCTAAAATACCTCTCTAAAAACGGGGGTTGTTTACAAATAAGCGCTGTTTACAAATTGCGATATAAAAAAGCCAAAATGCCGCCACTCGTCTATATCTAGAAATTCCGATCTACCTACGCCCTACCCCTCGATCCGCGTAGATTCTGAATTGCGTAGCAGTGTACAGGGTGCATTTCACTCGACGGGCGAGAAGCTCTTCGTTATGATTTTACCATTTGCGGTCAAAAAAATAGCAATATAGAAAAATGTGTAGTATATTCTTCATAAGTAAACCAACTACACACTAGAGTTCGAATTAATTTTACACTTAAACTAGCATGTACAGTTTGACAAATATAGGGAAGAGACTTGGGGATAGCACCGGTCGCGCACACGATAGAGAGAGAACGCATTCGGCGGAAGAGAGATGCAGTTACGCTACGAAAAAATCTGATTGAAGCAAATTTGTGGGATGTCCACTGCGCATCGGGGGCGTCTCTTATTTTATATTTCTCACGAATCTCTAGCTATACTTGTTAAGTTGTACCCGTGACTTCGTTCGCATCGAATTAATAATTTGTAATGGTGATGATAAAGCAAAGCAAGAATTTCCATTAACATACAAACTGGATAAAATTTTCTCACATTTGCCAAAAATATGCTTTAAACGTCGAGCAGTTTAAGCAGAATCGTGGTTAATCAATTACTCAACTTTTTTGGAACAACACCCCGTATTATTTTTTAAAAAATTTCAAAATATGTAAAAAAACAAAAATAAATTATGCGTGTCCAATCGTTTTCCCGAAAGACTAACCGTTTTTTAAATAATAAATATTGTAATATTTGAGGGGCGTTTTCACCCTCTTGGAATTTGAGATTCGAGAAACCCCTCCTTATCGCACCTCTACACCCCACAGTCAATCCGTTTACCAAAAATCAGCTATAAACGTCAAGCAGTTTAAGCAGAATAGTGATTACTCAGTGGTCATATTTTATGAAACACCCTGTATATATTTTGTAAAAATCTCAAAATATGTAAAACAACAAAATAAAATATACGTGTTTAAGAGTTTTTCGAAAAACTCACCAGTTTTTTTAAATAAAAAATATTCTAATATTTGAGGGTGGTTTCGCCCCTTAAATTTTGAGTTTCGAAAATCCCTTCTTATCGCACCTCTACACCCTAAAGTCAATCCGTTTTCCAAAAAATCAGCTTTTTACGTCAAGGGCTTTAAGCTTGGGATCGTGATTAATCAATGACCAGATTTTTCAAAACACCCTGTATACATTTTTAAAAAATCTTAAAATATTATTCTGAAAATTTTTCAGAATAAATAAATACTTAAATATTGAAACTTAATAACAAAGTATTGAAACATACAGCGCCATAATATCTCGACCTCCGCCCGTTATGCTCGTAACAGGTTGAAAAACAATATGTATCTAAAACAACTGATGGCGTTATTCTCCAACCTGTTTCAAACCTCGAACACCGTTCTGTTATGCTCGTAACAGGTAAAAAAACAACATAGCTAAAACAACTGATGCGTTTTTCTCCAACCCGTTGCGAGCCTCCATCGACAATCGACCGATGCAGCAGCGCTCCTTTCCCACTCCTGTTATCTCGACAGCCAGGCGTTATGCCCGCAACTGTTTCAAAAAAGCTGCTTCTTTTATATCCTATTATTTTTAAGCTGTTGTCAGCCCAACACGACGCGCCGCGCCGTAGCGCATACCCCACTCCGTTAGTATACATTTACGCCAATTGAACGTGTGGGCTGGTATTTTTGGAATTCTATTGTGGGTCAGTTTAACGATAAGTTGAGAAGAACTTCAACGCACAAGTCACAGAACAGCTATCTAGCAACTACCGCACCTGATAGCTTAAACTTTGTGGGTAAGTGAAAAATGCGTAAACATCTAGAAATAATAAGAAAAACCTCAAATTGATCGGAAGGAATTTTCGTTATCATTTACACTCGATCTCTGCGTGTCGTTATTTTATATCTGTTATTTTTTAAAAGCAGTAACGGTTGCGTTATGTTATTTCTAAATAATTGTTATAAAATAACAGATAGTTAAATAACAACCCATCACTACACTTGACCCCCCTTCCCATTTGAAAAAAGTTGGGGGATGACACCCCCACTCAGAGGGTTGAAGATTTTGCAATCATTTTTGGGGCAAAAGTTGTCCTCCTGACAAACAAAATTGACGTGTTTTTGGATTTTTTGAAAAAAAGAATACCCTGGCCGTTATGCCTTCCGGAACGTTTTCGATGGGCCACCCTGTATGATTTTTTACATCTGTTTGAAATCCAATAATAATATAACGAGGTTTTTTCAACTGATTACTCGATTTAACAGCCCATGTATGGTTTTTAGTTTGTTGCAATTCTGGATATTCATGCAGTTCCCAACTCCTCAATCAGTAAATCGGTAAAAATAAGGCAATCGGTAAATCTCTGTTGTTTTCAAAATTTTTTAGTAATCGTAATTTTTGACTATCATTAACTGATATATGAGGCATTTTCCACAACATTTTATTCAATGTGATCTTATAGCTACCCTTTTTGTTTCATCAGCTGAATGAATAGCATTAAAATCAGAATTATTTCGTATGAGAACTAGTTCTTGTTTTACATTCATTACAATTTTATGACAGTCTTCAGCAAAACCCATCAGCATTTTCAATGGTATACAAACATTAAACTTTCCATTGCCATCGATTAATGATGGATTCTTTGTATCATGCCACCCGGCGTTATGCAAACCGTTAGCCTCTGTAGGAGTAAATGAAATATAACCTTTCATAGTTGATGTAACTCCAGGATTTCTAACTCTATCAACAATCACTCCTCCCATTTCATAGCGAATTTCATCAAACAAAAAAGCAACACCATCATTCACAAATTGTACATCAGCACTTGCTGTGTTGTCAGATTTTGTTAATTTTCCTTCAATATAGAGGTAACTCTGACTTGGTAAAGTATACAGATCTTGAGTTTGTATTGGGATTCTAATTTCATCGTTGTTGTTTAATGTTGTAGATGAATAGGGTTGATGAGTATGATACTGATAACTCACTATTGAGTCATCTTGTGTAACACTTTCATTAACTTTTAAGATGTTATAACTCATTTTTACTGGTACACTTAAATTTACAATTACAATAAACCAGAAAATTAGTTAAACTGGTTCTAAGACGTAGCTTAAAGTTTATCCAAAATTTCTGAACTTTCTTAATTTTGAAACGGATGATGATCCTTCTTTCTTTTCAATCTGAATCCTAATGATAGTAGATATTCTTGATTGGAACGTGTTAATTCTTTTAACTGTTTCTTACTACTGAACCGTCTCTGAAAACTCTTTTGTTTTATATACAGTTCATTGGACGGTGTATAAGAATCATTATTATAGATAAATACCATTATGTTTCTTTAGATGTAAACGTACCGTTACTAACTCGTTTCTAAAATTGATTAGTCTTCCATCTTGATCTGTTATTTTAAGTATAATTTCATCAACATAGCCCATGCTGATTGGTAAATATATTACATTTGATGGTTTTTCAACGATTTTAAATCCTGGAGCGGTGGTAGGATAAAACATGAATGATATGAACTGGCTTTCCATTGTTATATGAATTTGTTACAAGATTACATTCTATCGTAATTCACTTTAAAAATATCAACAGGGTTCTTTGATATGTGTATCTGGTTCTCTTTTAATATTTGATTACTAAAACCTAACAGACTTCCAATAGAGTTTTCCTTTGAAAAATCAACAGATTTATTACATTTAAGTTCACACTGTAATATGTTATGATTTGCCTCTATAGAAATATCCACTTACAACCGATTTCATAATCAATTTAAAGTTAACTTTAACTACTAAAGCTCCTTTAACTTCTAATATGGATTTCATAATTCATTTTTAAACCTCCTTTAGTGCTAAAGGCACTTTAAATTTAAACCGCCAGGTTATCCACTTTCAGACGCTAAAGTTGACTTTAAAGCTTCTTTAAAGTGATAACCTAACCTCAATTCAGTTTAATCTTTAGTTTTGGTTCAGCCACGTTTTGTCATTTGTGCGTTTTGTAAAAACTTCGTTGTTTTTTATTTGATTATAAAATGAATTTAATGGATACGGATACTTCATCAAGTTCGAGTTCATCAGAAGAAGAATTAGTTTTTGTTCGGAGAAGAAAAATATACCGAGATCGTCAAAATTATTACGAACTATACGATGATTTGGATTTTTTCTGTAGATTTCGTTTGACGAAACCTACAGTAATGCAAGTACTAGGAGAGATTGAACCGCAAATCCGTTTACCTACAAATAGGTTTGTATAATATAACAGGTAGTATTAATTGGTATTAATTCAATGTCAATTTCAGAGGAGGATGTGTCCCACCCTTGCTACAATTATTGCTAACATTAAGATTTTTTGCCACTGGGTGTATGCAGATTACTGCTGCTGATTTTATCGGTGTATCGAGGGCTACGGCATGTCGTGTTATATCAAGGGTAACAACAGCATTAGCAGCTCTAAGGCCTAGATATGTGAAGATGTATTCCGATAATGCCGAAATGCAAAGAGCATCAGAAGATTTTTATGGCTTAGCGTCGTTTCCAAGAGCAATAGGAGCAATAGACTGCACTCTGATAAAAATTGATTCGCCTGGAGGAGAAGATGCAGAAATCTTCAGGTGCAGAAAGGGTTTTTTTGCATTAAATGTTCAGACTATTAGTGATGCTAAATTAAAAATCCGAAACATTGTTGCAAGGTGGCCAGGATCTGTACACGACCAAACTATTTTTAATAATAGTCAAGTCAAAAGAGAATTTGAAACAGGCAGGTACGGAAGGTATATTTTAGTTGGAGATAGTGGATATGCATTAAAAAAATATCTAATGACAAAACTGTTGGAGACCAATACCGATGCTGAAAATTTATACAATGAATCCATAATACGAACCAGAAATGTTGTCGAGCGTCAGTATGGTGTGTGGAAGAGGCGGTTTCCAATTTTAAAGAATGGGATGCGGGTAAAGTTGGAAACTGCAATGGATATTATTGTTGCTACGGCTGTATTGCACAATATTGCCCTCGACATGTCTGAAGACATCCCAGGGGAATGGCTAGAAGATGCTGAAGAGGGAGAAAATGCTGAAGAGGGAGATGGCATTTTGGAATTGCCAAATGAAAATATTAATTTTGGTAGACAATTTAGACAAGTACTAATAAACCAACACTTTGCTGGACTTTTGTAACTATCGAACTTGTAATATAATTGTTTGAAATACCTTTTTAGCTAAATAAAAATTTATTTATTTGTTTATATGTAATTTATTTTAATCAAAATGCAAACTAAAAAAAACAATTAAAATTATAAACTTTAACTATACCTAAAATTAATACGAAAAACACGTTATTTTGACAATTCCTTTTTTTTTAGTTCGATTTCCAAATCGAGTAATATCATTTTTTTCATATGTTCCTGGTCTTCTCTCTGTTGTTTTTTTTCGTATTCCAACTGTTGCAATCCCATACTCTTCTCCATTAATTCAGTTTTCACCCTGTAATATTCTAATTTAACTGTATGCAGAGGATTCGATACTGTAGGTCTCAGCTGCTTAGCAGTTTTTTTTTCAATTTTGTAGGAGTATAATTGCTCCAGTCTTCGGTTTTCTATAATAGAAAAGAATATTAAGGCAGATTCTCACGATTCATGTACTTGACAAACATTTGTAATTGGTATACAGGATGCATCGGACATCTATACAGACTGTATGCCAATAAAAAATACTTGCCAAGTACATGAGTCGTGAGAGCGCGCCTTTAGATAGGTACTATAAGATTTTTTTTTCATTTAATAACACTTTAAAATAATATATTATTACAATTACCCTTTTACATTCACTTTCTAATTGTTTTTCTACCACTGGCAAATTTGTATTTGGTGTTTCAGGATTGTCAGTACTTCCTTCCTTTTCTTTCTGGTCGAGCTGAATCTGTAAAAAAAATGTCATAGTTAACCAGGTTCCCATTTAAAAGAAGATAAAAATAAGGGACAACCTTAACAAACTGATTCGAAAGATCTAATTACTTACAATGTATGGTGGCGAAACGGGAATAATAGTGAATCCAGTCAATGACTGTTGATCCCTGGAGGTCGATGGTTGTGGTCCACTGGAGGTCGATGATTGTGGCTCACAGGGGGTCGATGGCTGTGGCCCACTGGAGGTTGATGGTTGTGGCTCACTGGGGGTCGATGGTTGTGGCTCACTGGGGGTCGATGGTTGTGACTCACTTACACAAACCTAAAATAATTATATTTAAAAAAGTCAAGAGCAACTAATATTGTTCTTACCACATCAGTATCACAATCATGTTGTGGTTTAAGTCCAGCCACTAACTTAGAATTTAAAATATTCAAAACTGCTTGTATGACTGGATCTATGTGATCATTATTTGATGGACCACCGCCAGTACCCAAAATATTCTTTTTAGATTCAGCAACAACTTTTTTTGCTTTCGTTTTTAAGTTGTCGTACTTCCCCTGCAGCTGCTCAACTTTTTTTGTTACTACTCCTACTCTTTGACTATAGGAAGCTAATATTTTGTCCCAAACATAGTCCTAAAATAAAATAAATAATCCAGTTTAATTGTGTTATTCGACCACCAAACTTCATAAAAAATAAATAAATTTATATATACATATATCTTTATATAACAAATATCTGTAGTCATACCTTCTCCTTTTTGTTTATTTTGTTTGTAGTTTTGCATTCTATAATGTTCCAATATTTTGCTACTTCTTCTAATAGTATCAATTCCTCCTCCTTGGTAAAATTAGCACCCCGGCTTCTTTTCGGAGTTTTAAAAAGACTAAAATAAAAATAATATAAATACCTGTTTTGGCCATTACATTATTTATTAACTTACCTTTCAGACATCTCTATACAAAATATTAGAAACAACTAGGAAATATAAAATAAAAACGATATTACAGTAAACAAACACGTCAACACACGCCAAACACCAAGAATAAAATGAAATGATCTCGTGGTGAACACGTGGACAGAGAAATAAAAATCTGTAACAGCAGATAACTCAGCATCTGTGGTATAAATCCATAGATCAAATAACATACAATTTCATACTCATTTTGAACTATTAACTAGGAATCGGTGTTACCAACATGAATTTTTAACGTTAAAGTATGGTTAAAGTCGCCTTTAGCTAAAGTCGCTTTACTTCAGGTTATGAAACTGAACAAATTTTAAAGTCACTTTTATCCTAAAGTCCCATTTAGCTAAGGTCGCTTTAAGTGAATGATTATGAAATCGGCCCTTACTCTTCTTTTGAATGCTGCTTAAACCACTCTTGCAAATATCGATTTATATCTTGAATTTCATAAGATCCTTCTGGCAAAACAATCTTCTTGTTTTTATCATAATAAAAAATATTATTAGTACTGTCAATATTCGGAATAGAATTGTAACTTTCAAAATTAATTAAGCCCAATACGTATTCATCATTTTCACTGAGGACAATAGGAGGATATATTCTGGCTGAAAGTGTGGATTCTTTACCTGATAAAGTAAACATGTATGACATTGTTGAAGGTTGAAAAAATAATAAAACTCTCAGTATCTAAGTGTAACTATTTATTAGAAATTTTAAACATAAATGACCACAATTTACAGTATTAAAAGTTTGATAAGGCGTATGGTTATAAAATATGTTACAAAGCCCATTGGATTTAAAATATTTTACAAGTTCTAGCGGAGGAGTTAAATTATTATTTGAAACCTCGATGTAAAAAAACCCTAATCCTGTATTGTATGGTTTTAAATACATCCCTTTACCCATTGCAATAGCTTCAATGGTTTTGTTGTGACGTTGGGCTTCATTGAGTTGTTCTTTTGCAGCCTTTCTTTCCTTTGGAGCTTTTACAATATTTGCGATTCCACCACTTAGAGCACCTAATGCACTAAGACCGGCAAACATTGGTATTAATGGTAGAATACCTCCAGTTTTAAGAATTTTTATAACACGTGGTGTCTTGATAATATTTCCATTATTTCTAGCGGTAGCTGTTTTTACTCCTATTTTTAATGCACTTTCAAGGTTTTTAGGTTCTTGTTTCAGTATAGCCTTTTTAATTGCACTCGTTACCGATTGAAAAGATTTACTTTTTTATTTAGAGTTAAATATAAGGATATAGAAAAGTTTTCGATTGGTAGTAAAAGAATTGATTTTGATGGTCCTGATTTAATAATTGCTGGTAAAAAAATAAAGGGCACTAAGGGACTTTTAAGATTTACTTTTTAATCAAAATGTGCCAAAGGTTTATACTAAAGAAGATGCTAAAAATTATTCTCAGATTTTATTCAAAACGCATGCTATTAAGATGCATTTTAATCCAAGCTTAACAACTATTACAAGCAATAATACTAAATTTAAAAAGATTGTTGGACCGTTTATGATGGATCGTTAAACAGCAAAGATTATAGTGATAATGATGATGATGATGATAAAGAAACAATAGGCAATGGAATGAGTATGACAGTTTCAGATAATTCAATTGACTACGTTTACTGGGATGATCCTAATGAATTGGTTTGGAAGAAGCTGATGACGCACTAAATCGAGACGTGTGGCGTAGGGTAACGGGAAGGCAGCAATAGGCTGTAGCTGGAAAAAAGTATCATATGCTTATACCAAATCCCGTTTATATATATCCTAATGAATTGGTAACAAGATTACAATTGTTACTTGCTTCTGAATCAGCAGGCAATACAGGTGTTGGAAATGAAATTGTTTCAATTGTACAACAACTACGAGAGGCAGATATTATTGAATAACATGTTTGCTACTGAAGCAAAAAGACAAATTGGTAATGAAATACATAAACCGACAAGAATTAATTTTAAGCGTAGAAAAGTTATTGTTAAATCTTTATTAGATCTAATGCAAGCTGATTTAGTGGATATGAGGGAATATGAAAAGGAAAGTCAAGGATACAAATATATTTTAGTGGTAATTAATTGTTTTTCCAAGTATGTATGGACATTTCCCTTAAAATCAAAAACTGCAAAATAAGTGGCTGAAAATCTTGAAAATGTTTTCAAAATTCAAACACCAATGCATCTCTGTACAGATTCAGGTGGAGAATTTACCGGTAAAGAGGTTCAAGCATTGATGAAAAAGTATAATGTTGCCCACTGTGTATTATATAGTGAAAAAAAGGCTTTTGTGGAAAGAATTTAACATGCAAGGGGCACACAAATGGTTAAATTTGATAAAAGGTGTTGTAAATGCATACAACAATAGAAAACATCGAACAATTGGAATGAAACCGGCAGAAGTAGAAAAGAAACATGAAAAACTTCTCTTAAAAACTGTATTCAATAGGATAAAAATGACTACTACACCAAAATATCAAATGGGTGATTATGTACGCATATCCAAATTTCGAGGAGCATTTGATAAACAGTATAAACCTAATTGGTCAACTGAAATATTTACTATCAAAAAAGTGCAACTTACCAATCCAGTTACATACTTGTTACAAGATGAAAATAATCAAGAAATTAAAGGAGGATTTTATGAACTTCAGCTTCAAAAAGTGAAATATTCAGACATTTATTTAGTTGAAAAAGTGTTAAAACGAAAGGGTAAAAAAGTTTTTGTAAAATGGTTAGGTTTTGATAATAAGCATAATAGTTGGATAGCTAAGGATAATATTGCATAAATAAAACATATTTTATGAGTACATAGCATTTTTATTTACTACCTATACACTCTTCAAGAATTCCTCTTAAACTATTTACACCACACACATAATAAACAAAACATTTCCTACAACATTTTAACATTTTAGGTTTATCTCTAATTTTTATAACTTTACAATTGCAAATAGACACAAAAAAATGTAATTATATCATGCTTTGGATCCACATCTTCTATTCCTCTATTAATAACCATATAGTCCAACGTCTACATCTTTCACAATATACCATGCGTGATTTTCGAGGTGAAGTATAGGAAAATATGATATATACATTTTCAATCTTCAGTGCTTCTTATTAAATATATATACTTAAATCTAGATAAAACAAAATGGATCCAAGGGTAATGTAATGTTTGCATTAAAATCATTAACTGATTTAAATTCTCTTTTGGAAAACTATAGGTCGATCTTCAACTACTAGTCAAATTGAATCTTCCACAGTACATTTTATTAAATTCTTGTGGAGCAATTGGATAATAATTTTGATATTCTCCTATAACCTGACCTATATAACCACCATTTGAATTTTCAATAGGT